TAGAATGAACACAGTAGCGGGGACATTCACAATATCTTATTTAGGGGCCAAACTTTGGAACAGCATATCAATTTCTTTAAGGTCTAAACAAAAACTTACATTCAAAAATACTATACGGAAAAATTTAATGTCAGAGTATTTAGAATAGAACTAATATTTATTATAAATGTATGTATATACATATATATATATATTATTATATTATCATATTTGTTTATTTGAAATATACTGAGGTGTAACCTACTGTCAGTCTTAAGTCATTAAATTCAAGTTATGTCAGGGATCTGACTCTACTAGCTTTTAAGCTATTTCAGATTCCATTTTACCTAGACTGCATGTACAATTTTGAGTATTGTATGAAATATTTTTCTAGGTAAATAAATTATTATTATTATTATAAAATATACATCAAAATTAGACATTTCACCACAAATTCACAAAATAGTCCTATTTATAGTTTGCACTTTCCCTCAGAAGATTGGGACAAAAAAAATTTTGAGTAACAAGCATTGATAATGTATAGTCCCCGTTCAGTATTAGCTGTAGTCGATGTAAATGTTCAATACAAGTGACATGTAGAAATGAACGATCAATGTTTTTCTAACACTAACACAGAATATAGATTGTGTTACTGTTAGTATTGTACCTACGTGGAAACTTTGAACTGAATTGGACTATATTTTACAGAGGAAATATGAAAAAAAAACGCAGCCATGCAGTTGGGTATTGTTGTTCAAGTATCTCCAAAAAAAATACATGGACCGTAAACTAATATGTAAGGTCATCATACAAAGTTTGATTGAAAATGCTCTATTCAACTTTGAACTGAATCAGGTCATATCTTATGATTTTAAGATATTAAACAAAATGACCACCATTTCGACAAATTTGAATAAATCTCAAAACAAAACACTGTGTTATGTTATCTTGAGGTATAATATTTATGTACAAACTTTGAACTGAATCAGGCCATATCTTATGGAGGAATCAGCACGAAAACGGTAAGAAAAACAAAATGGTCGCCAGTCGGACATTTTGGACTGAATCTCAAAAAAAAAATTTGATTGAAATCACCCTGTTCAGCTATGAGAAATAGTTCTGGACATTATACATATCAGAATTTAGCAAATTTGAGGGACAAAATGGCTGCCAGTCAGTCATATTTAATCAAATCATAATGAAAACATTGTCTGTTTGCACGTTTGAACGCGAATGGTAAAAGGGTGTCCGAGAAATTGCTCCAGATGGACGCACGAACGGACAGACAGAACCCAAATTAATAGTCCTTGTTTTCGAACTTCGTCTGAACAGGGACTAAAAACTGAAAATTGACTTGAATTTTCTCTGTTGGCTCCAAAATTAGAGGATTGAAGATATCACAAAATAAACTAATCTGAAAAAGATACACTTGAGGGACTCAAAATTAGAGAATTAAAGGTAAATATATCAATCAACACCAAATCTGCGAAAGATCGGACAATATATCGGACTACATTTGCAGTGACACAGCTGACAGTTTTTAAGAAGAAGTCGAAAATGTAAAAGTTTACTCCGATGGACGATAACATTAGTAATATAAACAGCTCCGCTAAGTCGAATAATATTCGACAGCGGAGCTAAAAACATTATACCTGGGCATACAAAGCACACGTACGCACATGACTACAATGTGTATAACCATAGATACTATATTGTCTATGGTATAACCCCCCCCCCGGGGGGGGGGGGGGCTACTTCCACATTAAATGGGTAAAGGTGTGAAGCCCACCTCTCGTAAACCATACTCACTAACCACACAAAAGACAAGGAAGTACCAACATTAATGCGTCATACCTTAAAATTCTCGCAACTCAAGCTATCGAAATACATGTACGTTGTTTACAGTTATTGGAGAACTCATGGAACTGATTTCGAGGTTAGAATGTCAACATCATGTATTTTGATAATGTAAACATAATAAAGGAACAGCAACTGCGCACAGTCGAGAGTGCTACCTGTGGCGCGACTGTATTTGAAGCGCCAAACCAGCAGCCACCTCGTTGCGCCGTATACGAACAGTTACAGGTAGTGCGAATGAATGTATAATAACTGTCTTTTTAGCTCACCTTGAACCAAAAACCTCGTGAAATTCCGTGCGAGAACTGCAAATGTCGTGCTCAGTCTCACCTGCAGACACAATCACTTTCCTTTCGCCGAAATTACGTCATTAAAACCCTTTAACTTGCTAAAAAAAACATGTCTCTGGTTTCCAACGCCCTCAATACAGTACTTTCGGAAATGTTGCAGGTGTTGTTACAGAGTCGGGTTACGCTTCGCAAAATATTAACCACTTCCGTCTTCCAGCATTAAGGTTTTCCAATGGATCTGAACTATTTTTCGAATAAAAAGGCTAAAATATCTATGGAAATGCGGGTTGTTCAAAAGAACACGTTCGGCGGGGAAATTTCCACTTCGCAGACCAACTTTAACTTTTGTCTTTGTCAATTCCAGCACAGTCAGCCGGCGTACTGAGGAGATGATAACAAAAATACGATTAATCTACCGATATTTATTATATGGGGAAAGCCAACTTGAATTCGGATTGAAAGTAAATAAAGAAGCCAGAGCACTTTCCCGACGTATTTGACACCGAAATCGTCATCCAACCAATATAAGGCCATCGCTGATTGGCTCCTGAGCTAGATGACGATTGGTTTGTTAGTTCGTTAAAGGGCAGTAGTCGTCACGTCACGCATGCTCGAGATATCTTATATAAACAAAGACTGTGACTTTGGCTGTTGCGCAGATCAACGAGTACAAACTTGGACGTTACCAAGCTTTAATTAGGTATTTTTCAGGTTATTGGAAGGTATCGAAAGTCGCACCCAGGTCAAACCTTATACTTGTGATTTCCATTAGAAGAGCACATTGGACTGTGGGAAAATCAATGTTTATCGACACAAATGAATTAATTTCATTCATTCATTCATTCATTCATTCATTCATTCATTCATTCATTCAAATGATTACATCAACAGATCTGGTTCTTATCATACAATCTCATACAATCTCTAGAGTGTGGACAATCATAAAGAAATAAGGGTCAAGTAACCTAGATACCCCCCCCCCCCAAAAGTTGGAAATAAAATATAAGCAAACAAAAATAAATGATCATAATTTGAATTGTATTTAAATTTACTGATTTAACATAGGCATTTTGCTGGATCCTGATTGATTCACTGATTTTATTGCATAGTTTTAGGCCAGAAAATAGTATATTTTTTAATATTACATTAAATACGGAACGGGGAACATTATTTGCATAATTTTACATAAATATACCAGGTTCCAGCTTGTACATTTCATATATATTCAATATTTTATATTTTGTAAAAGTGAACGAGTGTAGTTCGGTATAAAATTCTGCTAATAATATGCAGTGCTTTTTTGAACACGGTATAACTTGTTTACATCTGATTTCAAGCACTACCCCAGGCAAGAATCCTATAATTTAAGTAAAATTATGAAAAACTAATGAACAAAATAATGAATGTGCAGGTAATAATTAAGTGTAAGTGTTAATTAATAAATCCAATATACACATACTAACATTATGTTCAATATGGCGTTTCGCGTCATGTTTTAGTCCATAAAAATGCCAAGAAAGTGGACGCTGTTCCATCAATGCAATGGGACGGAATCCAGCGTTATGTTCAAAGCAACCTCAGACAGAGTGTTTGTGACACTTCCCATTAAAATGTAGTAGTTTTTTTTTACATTTACAGAAATTGTATTTGAACGACTTGTAAAAATGAGATATTTCCAGATAACCTGAGACTGATAACCCTGGCAAACAAGCCTTGATGGTGGAGTTAGGTATCCTTGCAACATGTCTATTCAACAGAAGCTTAACCGATTCTACACGAGGGCATGGTGCAGACAATTTGGCAGGTAGACTCGGTATGGCAATCGTGTATTTACATAAATAAACTGAGCTGAACTTTCAAATGAGCATCGCAATTGTTAAAATTCAGAATAGTGATACTACAAAAGCTCAAGGAAAACTAGGTGAGAAAATGAACAACGTTGGCGCTATAACCAAAAACTACTCGTGTTCCACAAAGGCAAAAATGTTCGTAATCATAAGAAAACATTTATTTCGTTTTTTTATGAAAATTGTGTGGTTCCCTGCGGATATATTTTCAGCAATGGCCATATCAGAATATTTCACCAACTTCTTATTGTCTAATATTATATCAAGGTTACAATGGACAGATGGGTGTGGATATATTGAAATTGAAAAATTGGACTGCTTGAAGGAGTGTAGATTAAAATTGAATTTGAATACTGCATTTTGTTTAGTGCAATGCCAATTGCCCTTTATATCTCTTCTTTGAATACCTGACAAGTTAACATGACTATACTCCCAATCATTTGTAAACACGGGTGTCAGATCATGATCTCTATCTTTTTTGCTAAGTGATGGGGTATATGCAGATTTTAACGTGGACCAACACTCAGAATGGAGAATTGGCGAGACTTTAAATAATGGTGGAATGTGTTTGTAAGTAGTCGAAACATTTCTTTGATTAGGCAGGGTGCGTCCAGTCATCCTTGTCATATCCAGCAAAGTTTCCCAGATAAGATAACGAACGAAGACAGCCACCATTTCATGAGCTTTTCTGCTTGGATGTCGACCAGTATCAGATGGAATAAGTAAATCACTTGCATTGTTCTGCTTTATTAGATGGCACACTGCACTTGGCTCGCTGATTGACGGGATATCGTAGTATCTACTTAACGGAACACTCCCGCTCAGTTCATTGGTTGTACAACTATTGCTATCAATTTGTCCACCCTTGAGAAAATTAATGTACACCAGTTGAGGCTCACTGGGAAGTGGCAGCAGAAACCGTGTCAGCTTTTCCTGGCCCTCTGGACCGTGGTCATTGACTGCAAACTCCCAAAAGAAAATGTCAATATCACTTGTATTGATAAATCTATTCAAACATAGAAGACATCTCTCACTGGTAATCCCCCCTACTGCCCCATTTCTAACTTCGACCTTTGTTCTCAATAACCTTTGTAACGACTCTGCAATATCGTATATATAAACGTCCTCCCATTGATCAAGACCACCGCCAGCAGAAATTGATCCTCCAAGTACACCAAGTGTTAAATTTCTGCCAGTGAGTAACACGTGTTGAAAAATATCAACCATTCTTTCTGTTGACCGTTTTTGATCTAGTGCCCTATCAAGCATTCTATCCGTTATACCCAAGTCTCTTCTTTTGGATTCTATCATCAATAGTTCCTCGGAAAGATCCTGTTCCAATAGAGTAAGTCTGTTTTCAATTGATGTATATATATTTCGTGTATTTTCTTCTTCATCGCTAAGAAGTCGCCCTGCAGTGATTCGCGGCCATTTGACAAATCTCAATTCAGTGGCACCATATAGCGCTACAGTCACGCACAGCGATGCCATTATAACGATTTTAAAATATTTCATGTTCATACTTCGTGGCTGAAATAAATAAATAAATAAATTATATATAGTAATTATGTACGTTTTCGCAAAAAGTATGATCGTAACAATAATGTTAGCGTTTAGATATATCCGTGTATAAACCGTGACATTGAATCATTATTGTCACATGTATTCGAATTGTGTATCATGTCTGAAAGGGAGGTGAACATGATAATGGTATAATAAAGTATACAGAAAGTAGAATAGATTAATTTACTGTCCGAATACTTGGTTATACAACACCAATACCCGAATTGTTTTAGACATTTGAATGAATCTATTTTAGAACTCCTAAATCAGTTAAATTTGCACGGAATTGGCCGTCATGTATTATTGAAGTTTTTACACATACATCGCACAACCGTAATCGCCCATATTTAGGTGATGTACATGTTGTCATAGTAACATGCTTAGTAACCTTTAGAGAATGTCTGAATAAAAAGTCAACATTAACTCGCTGTTCCCTGTTTATACCTGCTGTACATGAAACTGTAAATATAATATTGTAAATATTGTAAATGTTAGTTGCTTTACATGAACAGCAGCCGATATTGTAAATGGGGGTAGTGAGCATTTCTAAATTTATTCAAAGCTGTTTAGACAATTTCGGGCTTCTATACGATTAACCGATATTCGCTAACATGTACACTGTAAATCTGGGGAGCACTTAAATTCATGTTTTTCATAAAAATACACTGCTTTATTTAAAAAAAAAAACACTGTTTAAATTAACAACGTGTATTATGGGTACTTTAAATTGATATCACAGAATAAATATCTCAAAGCTATTATTGTTCGTTTAAGTTTTTTTACTCATCTCTTTTGAAATGTCCATTTTAACCATTATCGGGTATTTTTCTGCACTTTCACTTTCTACAAGGTTCTGCTTTATACAAACTAAATTATATGTTTTTTAAAGTTATAATCATTTATTAATAAATTGTTTAGTAATAAATGTTTAATTATTTAATATATGAAATAATTATTGTATGTTATGCTGTATGTATTTTACGCATCATAGTTGTATATTTTGCTAATAAACACTTTCAATATGAGACTTGTGTGACACACGAAAGTTTATTGATTTTTGTAATGCCAAAAACTCTTTTGTGTCTCCAGTACAAGCACTTCTCAATGTCTAAATTTTGATTTGTTTGAAATCACTAGTGTGTGTCTGAAGAAATCGCTATTTAAATTGCTATGTCCCTGGTTGAAACACTGTTCCACGTGTCATGATCATAAACGCTTCATAAAATGCGTGTATAGTGAAACAATTTTCAAAAGGTGTTGATAATAAACATTTTTCAATACATGTTTATGGTGGAAACGCTTTATAAAATGTGTGTCTAGTAAATTTGCTTAACAGTGTTGTGAGAATAAGTACTTTTCAATACATATTCCTGGTTACGAGTTTTTGATGTAAACATTTTAGATTATATGTGTTATATTCAAAAACGTGCCTGAAATGTTGCAAATTAAACACATTGACTACAAGTGTTTTCATCATATACGCATTTTTCACATTCGGGATTTTGAAGAAAGCACAACGTGTTTAATTTTAAAACAGTTAAAGTGGAAAAAAAATGTGTCAAATTTTAAAACACTTGTGCGCCAAATTCAGTTTCATCTTGGCCAGCTCAGCTGTAACAGTCATCTGCCATTTTGTTTTTGGGCGTCTAGGTTTGTGTTTCTTATT